AGGTGGTGGTGGGGTGGGGTTCTTGCCTGCGCTGCGCAGCCGTCTGTTCTGGTCAACATCGACTTCCCCGCTCGGCGTGCGAAGTAAAACCACCCGCCAGGAGCGCCTGTGAAGCTCGGATAGGCAACCCGCAGGCCAGAGTGCGCATGTGCGTGCGTTGGGTTGCCTACCTTCCATTACCATTATCACTAAGGGCTAGACCACACATGAGTTAACTGAACTTCACTTGAAAGGCTAGACCACAATCAATCGTGTGTACAAGTCTATGTTTCTTCTGTTAAAATGGTGAACAATTCATGTAGAGGCGGAAGAAAAGGGGGGAGATAACGGTAAATACCCATTAGTTACTCAATTTTAATTTTGTACGCAAATGAAAAAAAAACAACTCATTTTTTCAATTTTTTAGAGTTGATTACTAGATTACTCTGATCTTGTCTGTGCTAGATAGCATACAATATGGTTTATTTGGTACTTTAATAATATCAGCTTTAGCTAGAACATTTTCAAGCTGCACAGGCTCTTCAATATTGTCCGTTAGATAGTAATAGATGGAACTTGAAAACAAGATTTTAACAGTTGGAAAATCCACAGTGGAAAAATAATAAATTTAAATTTAAAATATTTTGTTCCACCAAAAAAACCCAAATTTTGTATGCTATCTAGCACAGACAAGATCAGAGTAATCTAGTAATCAACTCAAAAAAATTGAAAAAATGAGTTTTTTTTCATTTGCGTAAAATGAGTAAATAATGGGTATTTACCGTTATCAAATTTTAACTCCCCCCCCTTTTCTTCCGCCTCTACAACATGAATTGTTCACCATTTAACAGAAGAAACATGGGGAAGGAGACTGCAGATTGCCGCTAGGGGCGCCACTGGGATATACGCCAGTAGCAGCCAGGCGGCAGCCGGCACGGATGCTGTTTTGACTTATAGCTCTCACTGCAATTATCGCCCTGTATGAAAACTAGCTTATTGGGAAGCTAGCAGCGTTGCCTACAATCGATTCGCTTTCACTACGGGTCTATCTTGCATGGGCAAATGCATGGGGGAAATTTGGGAGCCTCCAAAGGGGTCCCCTGGCTAAATCGTGGCGCGTATCCCGGGGCTGCCCTCTCCCTGACTTGCCGTGTCGCCTTCCTCATAGACTTGTACACACGATTGATTTTGGTCTAGCCTTTCAAGTGAAGTTCAGTTTAAATCATGTGTGGTCTAGCCCTTTGTGATAATGGGAATGGAAGGTAGGCAACCCAACGCACGCACATGCGCACCCGGCCTGCGGGTTGCCTATGAGCTTCACAGGCGCTCCTGGCGGGGGGTTTTACTTCGCACGCCGAGCGGGGAAGTCGATGTTGACCAGAACAGACGGCTGCGCAGCGCAGGCAAGAACCCCCACCACCACCACCACCTCAAATACACAATTTTGGTGATTTTTTAAAAATTTTTTTTTGCGATTTCTCAGATCCTATGGGGGGGCCGACCAAACCCTTTTAGGGTTTTTTTCACTATGTTAGGGGATCATTTTGGGAAAAGTTAGGTCGAAATCGAAGATGAGCTATTTGGGAATGGCAATTTTCCGAAAAAATATGACGAAAAATGAAAATTTTGGCATCAAAATTCACCCAATCGTCTCGAAAACCCTTTTCATCGTTTCCCCAGCTCTTTTTACGTAAAAAAACACTATGGAAAAAAATCCAAAAAACATCAGCCAGAAAAAAGGAAATTTAAGAAAATATCATGATTTTGACTAAAGCTTAAACTTTGATATCCTGCCACAGCTAAACGGGGTGAGATATCGCAAAACCCTTTGGCAGGGGTCTTTTTATGATGACCCCTACCCTTAAAAAAAAATTTCATCAAAATCGGAGAGATGAAATTCCAAGCGTTCGTTGGTTTGGCATGGAATCGCCGGTATGCGTCCGACGGACATGACGCTGGCCCCCAGCGTCTGGGCAATGCCCCTTTGACCTAAACAGACACAATAAAATAAAACATGGCTAAAGTTTTTTGGACGCATCCGCGTGCCGCTGGGCGAATCTTTATTTACCAGCATGGGGTTTGCTTCAAAGTGCTGTCGGACCGCTCCGCGAAGTACCGGATCATCCACAACCCGTCGGGTTTCCTACCCTTTGGGGGCAAAATGCACCGTGGGTCCGCAGGTTTGTCTCGGTCCGTCGGAACACTGCAGGCGACGGCACCACTCTCCCCGGGGAAAACCCCTCCGCGTAGAGCCTTCTCGCCGACGTGGTTGGGTTTTCCGCGTCCCGGGACGCAGCCACAATGTCGATCTTCTCCAAGTTCGAAAACACCATCGTCCATAATGAAGTGTCTCACAAAAACAAACTCGCACCTCGCACAGAGCTGCGCACAGAGGCGCGAAACGCCAAAAAATGCGACATCGCGCGACTTAAAATAATTTTCCGATCTGTCTGCTTTTTTCACTGCATATGGTCATTTTATGATGTTCTCTAGCAAAAGAAATGATTTCCAAGTAATAGCTGGGCATATAGAGCTAAAAATCACGAAAAACATGAAAATATTGTACCAAAATCTGCCATTTTTTTACACGTTTTTTGCCTGTAAAAGCGACATTTTTTTCAAACGGGCAACTTTTCTCAACAGATTCTGAAAGCCAAGGACAAGGCCTACAACTTTTGTTATAGTCGCAACGCTGTAGCGAGGTCGGCCATTCGACTTTTCTGGCCTCAAAGGTTTTCTTTCGAAAATTTTAAAGGAAATTTTTCCTATTTTGACAAATTTTGTTTTTTTTGTCCCCCTGCGGCCCGTTTTACGCCAAAACCAGTATCAATCATCCAATAAGTTTATAGAACTGGAAATAGATGTAACGAGGCAACACAGACCACAGGGGCACAAAAATAACAAATTTGTAAAAATAGGAAAAATTTTTCCCAAATTTAAAATTTTACGAAAAAAAAACCTTTTGAGGCCAAAAAAGTCGAATGGCCGACCTCGCTACAGCGTTGCGACCATAACAAAATTTTAGGCCTTGTCCTTGGCTTTCAGAATCTGTTGAGAAAAGTTGCCCGTTTGAAAAAATGTCGCTTTTACAGGCAAAAAACGTGTAAAAAATAGCAGATTTTGGTACAATATTTTCATGTTTTTCGTGATTTTTAGCTCTATATGCCCAGCTATTACTTGGAAATCATTTCTTTTGCTAGAGAACATCATAAAATGACCATATGCAGTGAAAAAAGCAGACAGATCGGAAAATTATTTTAAATCGCGCGATGTCGCATTTTTTGGCGTTTCGCGCCACTGTGCTGCGACGACTGACGGCCTCGCTCCGCCTCGCTCGGTGCGTCGCCGGCCGGCCGCTCGCTCGACGCAGCGAGCGCTGCCGGCGCTTTGTTTACGTGACCCATCGTCTGCACCGGTGACACCGTCCGGCCAGCGTCCGGAGCGCCGGCGAGTGCTGCCACCTGTGTGCGACGCGTTCGAGGCGGCAGCGCGAGTAGCGACGAGTGGCAACCCTAGAGCGCCTCTGCGCCCGCAGACCGGCGCATAGGCAAGCCCGCCCGCGCGGCTACGTGCGGGTTGCATACCTCTACTTTTGACACGGGGTTTTTGGTACACCTGGTATAGTTTCAAAGCCCAACCAAAAGACAAAATATCTGCCCACTAAGGATTGTGCTCTCATTGGATCTTCTTCTGATTACACTCCAACCGAAGAAGAGAATATTTTGTTGGAAAATTGCCCTGAACCTTTAGACAAATCCCAGCTCAAGTTATATAACAAACTGGTAACAGGGCAATGTGTTTACACCACTGAGAGTGCAGCATCTGGTAAGAAGCATAATAATTCAGGTGCTACAAGAAAAAATAAAAAGTTAGTCATCATAAAGAAAATAATCTTTGACAAAGTTTCTGAGAAGACAATGCTTCTTTGTGTTGATATTCGAGCTGAGACATTTCTTCGGATGCCTCAGGGCATTCGATTAGCTCCAGAAGATCATTTTCTCAGACTTGTAACATCTATTGGAGAAAGGCTCAGGCTATTACGGGTCTCAGATTTGAAAATTGTGAATGTGATCTCAAAAATGAATAGCAAAACATATGTTGGAGAATTTACAAATGTATTCAATGTTTTTGGCCCGTCCCGTTTATTTTTTGTAAAAAAATGACGGAGGGACGGGCATATAGTATGATGCATGCTGTGCGTCCGTTCGTTCGTTCGTTCGTTCGTTCGTTCGTCCGAGGACTTCCCGTAGTCCGATCTTGACCAAATTTGGTATGCAGCCTCCTTGGGTGACCCTAAGAACCGCCCGGTGGCAGCAAATCCGATCCGAGCCCCGGGGGCGCTGCTGCAGGTGCATCATGGTCTACATGGGGTCGAGGAGGATCTCGGCAACGGATGCAGCTAGGAGGGCATGTAGGGGTATTTTTGGAATCGGGGCGACGAGAGAAAACCAATGGTGCCAGTTTCGAGCAAATCGGAGAAGTTCGGACCCGGGTTCAAATCCCAGCGGGGTATTTTTGGAACATTCTTTTTTTCGAGTTTTTGCATTGTTTCTGATGTTTTTGAGGGTGCTGATGACGAAAACGACATTTATTTTAACCCCAGACTCAGATTTAATTCCCGTCAGGGTCAAACATAGGAGAAATTCGTACGTTTCTTAATGTACGGGACGGGCCAAAGTTGCCGATGTATATCGCTACTTTTCCTGTTATTTAAATATGTGTTTTTGTTGTGGAAAAAAAGAGGCTGTTCTATTTATTTGTGTATTTCTGTGTGTAATTATTTTTCAATTTAGGAGTTAGAATAATTGTACTGTTAAAATAAATAAAACTGCTGGGCATTATCATGGTTTTGTTTATTCATAAACCACAACACAGCACAACAGAAATAATTTGTCGCCAAAGATAGATTAACATATCTTAAAGTACAAACAAGTCAATCATTCTTGACCTTGTTCTGTCGTATAAAGAAAGACATTTTCATTGATAAAGCTGACAATAACCCAGAACATAGAAACAAAAATTTACGGTCCTTGATGTGCCGCCAACTGATGTTTGTGCTTCCCTCGATTGTCTGGAATTTTTACTAGGTCATCACAGCAATGTGACAAGGCATTGACAATCCAGGAATCACATATACTTAATGTAGTTTTAAACATAGTTTTACAAACTTTTTTTTGTTCTTTATCTATGCAGAAAGAGTATTCTCTGTTAACAAGTTTCTCTCCTTTGGCTCCTTTCATAGAAGTTTTTCTCTTTGGAGCAGTTAATTTAATTGACTTAAATATAAACAACCATTGTTGCTCATGGTTCTGCAGATTCCAAAATTGTTTTGAAATTAAGAGTCTTTCCTCTTCTGTAAGCCTTGGGCTTGAGCAACGCTTACATTTAAGTTTACAAGCAGGCTGCGGACAACGGGCTCTCCTAATTTTTCCAGAAGAGTTCATATGCTCTTTGCCTGCATTAAGAGCAAGTTTTGCTTCGTACGATGGCTGCTGAGATGGATACCGCGGTTTCTTCGAGTTCACACTGTTGCACAGGATGTGAGCAAATTTGGGCGTAGACATAGAATTGTTGATGCCAACTGCTGCTGTAGTTATTTGTGGAGGTTTGTGGATGTCATCAACTTCTTCTCCCGCTGGTTGAACTGCTGCAGACAGAAAACAAGAAATTTTCTTTAAAAACCATTTACTTCATCCCCATATTCTCCCTGGTTTCAATTGCGTTCTTATCCTGACTTCGAAGAGCACAAAACCAAACAAATAAGGATTAGGGGCCGTACCCAATTATGTTACCGATTTAGGGGGGGGAGGGGGTTCGGCCAAATCCTACGGACGGTCACGAGGGGGGAGGGGGGGTTAATTCAAAAGTCACGTAGTCACGAATTTGGAAATTATGATAGCAAAACACACGAGGTAGCGGCGCGGTCAGGCAACAGATATCTGTTCCTGCTGCATCCAAGCGGACAGAAACCAAGTTTCCCGAAATATGACAAGTTTTAGCGGTCGTTTTATGAATTCAAAGTGGCCATTTGATGTAAAATTGCTTAAATTTTACTTCCTCTGACCTTCAGGGTTCCAAAAAAAGACCCCTTCTGTGAGCTAATAGACTATTCTAGTCGTCGACTGAAGAACAAGAAGAACAAAACCGAAAATGAAGTGGATTACGAGCAGGTAGCGAGCCCAGTTTAAGGGAGAAATGTTGAGAAATAGGGTAAACTATACAGTTACCGTCAGTTTAAGAGCATCGCTTTCTTTTCAAGGGCCTCTAGGGTAGGTTATGACACTTAGACTTGTGCGACTTGTTTCAGACACCTCAGAAGGATCTAGACAACGAAGTGGCTGACAAAGATTTCACCAAAAACTTTTTGTGACGCTCTTATTTAACGTGATAAAAAGGTTACCAAAAACACAGTTACCGGCAGCCAAAATACAGTTATCGGCACCCTTTAAGACAGTTATCGGCACCCCTTGTTAAAAAGGCAAAACATGACCGAAAGTGACGAAAATTTCTAACAGTCGTCACAGACACTCTATATCACCCCTCAGCATGTCACGAACCCCCTCTTCCTTCTGTTATGCCTCTTGCGCCCTTCATTTTAGACTAACGGACAACTAGCACCATGAGCTGCGAAAAAGACAACCTTTCAAAGCGCCGAGGAGAACATTTCCTAAATCACGTAGATCACTGGGAAAAAGTGGTCCGATTTCATTCAAATTTGGCAAGGGTCGAGGGGGAAATCACTCGCGTAATAGTCGGGTCGCCGATTCCTAGTATTACGCGTAATAGTAATAGCGTAATAGCCAAAATTTGTAAAAGTTTTCCTATTTAGAGTCCGATTTTAGCCTAAATCTGGAAATTTCCGAGCGTAATAAGCCTTCTGTAATAGCGTAATAGAACGTAATAGGGAGTAGTCGGGTCACAGTTTTTAAGAGTGATTTCCCCCTCGGCAAGGGTCTTCTTACGGTCATAATGCATCAGAATATTAACTCCCGGACGACGCCGGAAACACCAGTGAAGTTTGAGGCCACCCTGACGATAACTGTGTTTGCGGTGATTTCTCTGGTGCAGTTATCGGCACCCCCCGAATGAGGGCAAGCAAGAGGAATTTCTGTCCACCAAGCACAGTATGCCCTCTTCAATAGATGAGGAGAAGGAACCTGGCAAAGAGAATAGTTGCTGCCAGCCCACATTCACGAATTTAACGAAAGATTGAACCCCTGTTCTTATCATAGAAGATAAGAACGGGCGGCCGAAGCGGCCTCATTCTGCACTTGACTAGAAACGTGGCTCTGTTGGCTGACATGCTCAATCAAACGCGATGCTGTCTCGGTCCTGCATGCTCAAAAAGTGTCTCTAGCGACCTGCATTGGCCGCATCACTAACGGACGCGTACTTGCAGAGCAGGACCCAATCATTCGCCGAGATGACGATAACTGTACCCCTGCCGATAACTGTATAGTTTACCCTATGTTTCTTTCCTTTACCAATAAGTATTAGAAACAGGCCTAATAGCATATCAACGCGAGAGGATTCGGGAACCTCTAAAATTATTGCACTCCACCGGGTGGACGGCGCCATTTCCGGTTTTGTGCGGCTTCTTGTTCTTCACTCACCAACGACTGGAATGGCTTCATCGATGATCTTTGTCTTTCTTCACATCAGGAAACATCAAATTAGACGAAAAACAGCTTTTGAGAAAATCCTACGTGACATCGGTAGGGGGGGAGGGGGGGTTCGCGAAGATCCTACGGTGTGTCACGATGGGGGGGGGGGGAGGGGGTCCAAAAGTGGCCTAAAACCGGTCACGTAATATGGGTACGGCCCCTAACAAGTAGAAAGAAACTTTTGGTGCGTCTACCAAACTTACCCTTGTCCGGAGAGAAGGAAAGTTTCCTTTTAACGGCAGTTGGATGACAAAAGCGATGGGGAAGATGATGCTTTTGTATGTCACTGGCATCAAATACATCATCCCACCACGATGAAACAGGTGCTGCAAAAGGAAAAAATAAATTATTAAAAGCAGGTCGGTGGCGGGAATAAATAGTCCACCTGTATCTACTCACAACACTCAGTGTTTGGAGAAGTTCTGGCACACACAGGCGACGGCAATAACCTCACTTCGGGGTTATTTTTACATGAAGCGACCAGTGCCTTAGCTCTCGCTGATGTCATTTCGTACCAAACATTCAATTATACCGCTATGTACTAAATCAAAGTTAACTCTGCGACACTATCAACATCCCAGCACTTGATCGCTTCTTTGACACAGCCCTTGCATTTGATCCTTTCTACAAATTCATTTGATCTTTTCTTAAAAAGGCAATGACCAGGTGTGTTTCGACAGCAACTCGCCGAGCTTTCAACATTTAAGGCTGGACGTTAAGTCGTTTGAAGGAAGTCACAAAATGGTCTTGCCAAAACACTGCTACCGACAAAATAAATTCTGCCACAGCTAAAGCGCCATGGGCCACCCCACTGTCAAGGTCACATTGGGAGGGGGGAGCCGCGCGCTCCGAAGCGTCCCAGCCGTGGGTATGATGGGTTGCCTACCATGCAGGCGCGCTTAGTGCTGCGAGGCGCACTTAACTCAATCACCGGTGGAAGCTCATAGACCCCGATCAATGTGACCGAAAACCATGGCCGCAAGCACCATGGAAGCATTCATGGTGAAAAGCGATCACTCAATTCCCATGGCTGCCAGAACCATGGAACCAAGACGCCCCAAGGGATATAACTGGATTTCCCGTGGGTTTCTGAACCATGGAAGCGTACACACCATGGAAAATTAGAGAACCCATGAGAAGTTCCAACCATCCCATGGCACTGGAGCCATTTTCCATGGGGATACGCCTCTCCGCCATGGCTTTCCCATACAAAACGGTCCATGGGATCCCATGTGCCTCATGGTTTTTTTGGACTGGGAGAATAAGAAAGAATTGATGAACTAGCGAAACTTCCTTTTTAAAACAACAATAATACTTGAAGCAGTCTCTGTAGACACACCAAAAAGAAAGCTTAAGTCCCAATGTGTACCACATTGATATAGCAAAACTCCTTTTTCAAAACAACAATACTTCAAGCAGTCTATGTAGACATACCAAAAGAAAGCTAAAGTCCCAATGTGCACCACAACGTTAACAACCATCATGCTTATTGCCTGTTAGAATTGTCCAATCAATCCAAAATTGAATATGGATTTATCTCAGAACGAGCCCGTGAGCACATACGACTTTATAGAGCAGCCCGGCTGAGATCCGTCAATTTACAGGCACCGGGCACGGAAGCGGGTAGATGATGCTGCAAAGTATAAAAAAACAACAGCTAAATTTCATATTAAAGACACTTTTTAAAGTATCTAGAAAGAAAATGAACATCATTGGAACAAAGCTGTTAAATTCTACAGGCTTTGTCCTTATTAACTTGTTGGCTGAGCGATAGCGAAGCCCGTTACTCCACTGGGGTTAAAAAACAATTTCTGTCTGTCTGTGTGTGTGCGTGTGTGTGCGCACTACTCCTCCTGAACGGCTCGGCCGATCTGGCTGATATTTTGCAGGCTCATTGGGTATGTTCATGGCTCGGCACACGCGAAATTTCACTATTTTAGCTCAACTGGTTCAGTATTTATAGCCGAAAAACACCTAAAAAACGGCGAAAAACCGAGTTTTCTGCAGGTAGACCTCCCCTGTCTTGATGGAAGGGGGGTCTGGGGGGCCGAGCCCCCCAGCCTCGACAAGTTAAAAAGTTACAAGGGTCAAGATCGTGCAATTTGTAGATGAAGCAACTCTATCTAGAATGAAGGGGGGCCCCCAGCGTGCAACAAATTCAAAGTAACCAATGGCGGACAAGCATTGCCTGCCGAAGGCAGGCTAGCGCCGCAGGCCAAGGTAGGTACGCCAGGCGCGGATTGGAGGAACTGGCCGACACGCGAGCGGAAGAACCGCCCATCTTCAGCGCGACGAAACAAACCCGCGTACCGCGCGGCCGCCGTTTCAAACCCGCTTACCTACCCCGGGCCGATTCAAAACCGCTTACCTCCGCCGGCCCGTTTCAAACCCGCGTACGCGCCGCCTCAGCCTGGGAGAGGTAAGCGGGTTTGGAACGGGCCGGCGGAGGTAAGCGGTTTTGAATCGGCCGGCGGGAGGTAAGCGGGTTTGATACGGCGGCCGCGCGGTACGCGGGTTTGTTTCGTCGCGCTGAAGATGGGCGGTTCTTCCGCTCGCGTGTCGCAGCGAGACATCGCGAAGCCTGTTACGACAAGACGCGCGGTCTGGCGTAAAACTACCTTGTTAACTTGTTAAATGTCAGTGAAAACAAATAAAGAAGGTAGAGATGGATAACATATTTTAGCTAGGGAAATATTTTTCTAGAGTAGCTTTGGCTGACTTCAAACTTTCAACAGAGGATGACGACATTGAGCTACTAAAGGAGTAACGTTTAGTGTCCAAATCTTTTTTTAAAGGGGCCTGAAACTAATGAATGGTATTAAGCATTTGTCATTCTTATAACACATGGTAGGTTTACGCCAGACCGCGTCTTGTCGTAACAGGCTTCGCGATATCTCGCTGCCTGTTCCTCCAATCCGCCCCTGGCGTACCTACCTACGCCTGCGGCGGTCGGTTACGTCTAACTTGTTGCGTCCTGGCGAGGCTCCGCCCCCCAAACCCCCCTTCATTAGGCCGCATCAAAAAAAAATTTCGAAAGGCCCTGTCCAGGTAAGACTCCACCAAATTTGAGCGCTCTCCGACAACGCGAACCCAGCCTGCACAGCGCCTTCTTCCGCTTCCTGGATCACTTGTAGTCTGCCTTCACCTGCTCTTTCTAAAAAAAAATATATTGCAAGACAAAAACAAAATGAAAAATATTTGGACTTCATTTAAATTTTAGAACCTCCAGAGTTTTCAAAGCATGTTTCAAAATTTCCTCCACAGTGTCAGGCGTCAAAAACTCCAGGGCCTCTTCAGCACTAGTAAGGGGCTTGAACAGTTGGGGATCCACCCGGGTGGAACGAACTGTACTCAAATCTACAATTTTAAAATGTATCTACAACCGTCTACTACTCTACAATAACTGTAAGGCATCTGGACTAAAATCAAAGTTTATCTAGTGTCACAAATGGCAGGCTGCATACAAAAAAATTATACTAAGACTGCAGTTGGACTTATGTAGGTACAGCAGTTAAACTACAGTTAAACTGCAGTTTGGGTTAGGTCAAATCTGCAGTATTGACTACGGTTATCTCTCGTTTTAAAAATAGCAGTTCAAACTGGAGTTGCGAAGTATCTTTAAACTGTAGTTTTAA